CAGGATCATCTGAGAAGGAAGGAGGTAAAGAAAGAAAGGAGAGGAGAGGGTGGGGAAGAGAGGGAGGAAGTCAGGAGGAAAAGGAAGAGAAAGAGGGGAGGAAGCAGGAGCAGAAAAGGAAAAGAGAAATAGGAAGAAGAGGAAGGGGAGGGGGAGGAGGAAGAGGAAGAGGAAAGGGCAGGAGGATGAAAAAGGAAGCAAGGGGAGGAGGGGGAGGGGAGGGGAGGAAGAGGAGGAGGAGGAAAAGGAGGAGAAGGAAGAGGAGGAGGAAGAGGAAGAAAAGGAGGAGGAGGAAGAGGAGGAAGAGGAGGAGGAAGGCTGAGGAGTCAGACCCTACTCAGGAGCCGGAGGCATCTGGCTCTTAGTACTGAGTCTCTGCCTGGAGACCAAAAATCCCGATTCAAATAATTTCATTTTATGATTCTGAGGAAAATAAAAATGTGAAGTAAGAAAACAACTGGCTTCCCTTTCCTTTAGGCTCCAGTCTGAGCAGGCACTTTAGTGTTGCTCCTCCCTAAAAGAAAAAGCAGAACTGTCCTAAGAGGCCTGGAAGTGGGAGGTGTGCTCTCTCCCCAGGGAGCCTCCTTAAGACTGCGGAGTCCGGGGAGCTCCTGGGGCCTCCGGGGTCCTTTGTAGAGGGTACTCCTTGCCTGTCCTCTCCCACGCCAAGCCTCCTGTCTCATCAGACAGGGTGACCACAGCATTCCGGTTGGTGGCTCTGGCCCCTCCCAACCAAGCAGGAGCCTCAGAATACGCGAAAGTTCCGAAATCACCCCCCACCCCCATTTCAGGGCGGATTTAGCACCCTGTAAAGACAGATGTTTTGGGTAATCACTTTCAAAAAGTGCTTATTGCATCTGAGCCAAAATAAAGTGTCCAGTCCTGTAGTGGGCTCTAGGAGGCAGGGAACCCGCTGGGGGGCAGGGAGCCTGGGTTGGCCTCAGTCTCACACTTCCTGTGTGTCAGGGCAGTCACCAGCAGCCAGGGCCTAGTCCCTCAGCTCCTCTCTCGGTCCTGTTTCTCCCTTGCTTAATCCGGTTTGGAGGGCTCCACTCAAACTTGGGAGGAAGAATGTCTCTCTGCATTGTTGTAACCCTTTAAAAGAGAGAAAAGGTTTGAGTGCAGATTTCCAGACTGGCTGACAGGTAAATGGAGGAGACAACTGTCCAAGCCTCCAGCACTGGAACAAGAGTGGCTCCCAGGGGGGCTAAGGAGGCTGGGCCAGCTTGGAGCTGTACCTTTACTCCAAAGAGAACTCAAGGAAGAAGCAGGGTTGAGGAGGAAGAAGAAGGAAAGTAGGAAGAAGGGGAGGAAGGAGAGGAGGGGGAAGGAGAGGGAAAGGGGGGGATAGGGAAGAGGAGAAGGGGAGAGGAGGAAAGGAAAAAGAGGAGACAGAGCAAAGATGGAAGGAAGGAGCGGAAGAGGAAATAGGGGAAGGGGGAGGAGAAAGGCCCTTTCCCCAAGGTCTCTGCTCAGCTCGGTCTGGACCCCAAGGGCTGGCGCAGGGATTCAGGTTAGAGTTTCAGCCCACAGAGCAGTGGAGGCCGGTCATACCTCAGGAAACCATGGAGATGGGAAGGCGGGAGGACCAGACCACAAAGTCGGAGAGGAAACCCGCTGGGAAGAAGTCAGAAAGGCAAAGAGGAAAAGACAAACAGGGACTTTAGGCACAAAGCAGGCGGGGAGGAAGGGAGACAGATGGTGGGGTGCATAGGGAGGCAGGGACAGAAAATGTGTGCAGAGAATGGACAGGGAGGGAGGGAGGGACAGGAAGAGAAGGAGGGAGGAAGGGAGGAAAGGTAGAGGGCAGGTAGGGGGCTAAAGAGTGTTCTGAGCTGGCAGAGCACACAACTGGGGCTGCAGCCCAGGGAGCCTCAGAGGTGCTAGAGGCTTTGGGGGGGGTTGATTGAAGACTGTGTGGGGAGTGTGTTGGGACAAGGAGGCCTAGCCAGGGGGACCAGCCCATCAGGAGAGCTCCCCTACCCCAGCTGCAGCCACCCATCCCTAGGTGAACGCCCCCCTTTCCCCTGCTGGATGTGAAATTGCCATTTCACCCTGCCACACTTCTTAATTGTTGCAAAAATCATTTGTGAAATTGGTCTCCAAGAGGGGTGAGAACCACCACGCTCATTCTGACAGACTTCTCTTCCTTGCCCCCTTCCCCAAGTGGAGGTGCCCGGCCTGGGCTCTTGAAGTCCCCAGCTGTAGAAAGGCCCTGTGGCCAGGGTGGTGACAGACCCAAGGCCTCTGTGTCTTCCTCCATGGAGGGTAGAGGGTGGCAGTGGTGGATCACCTCAAGGATGAGGTGGCCAGGAACACAGGTTCCCAGCAGTATAGGCCCTTCGCCCACGTGACTGGCTGTGTCTGTCCCACTCAGTTAAGGAGTTGTCACAGAGAAACTGGGTGCCCAGGGTTCCCAGGGAAGCCTTTCTCCCTGCGGAACTCACCAAAACATAGCCCCCCGCCCCCATCTTCCTAGTCTGCTTAGTGCTCTGCTAAGGCACACATATGATTCACAACATATTTAGGAACTCACATTTACCCAACTTGACCCAAGACAGGTAAAGACTCCACCAGCACCCAGACACCCACAGACCCCAGGGAAAGCCACAATTACCCATGAGTACATTGGATCATGCCACTGTATAAAGGAGGGGATGCCTTAAAACCTGCCATGTCGGGGGGTGGATGGATAGAGTAGTAATGTGCAATATACATTAAATGTGTATATTATATAGTTATATACAGCTATCCAACTGGGGAGGGAGGTTCAGGCAGGCCAGTGCCACAGCAAATTGTCTTCTTCCTTAGACAAACTGAAAGGCTAAGTACAGTGGCACACCCCTTTAATCTGGGCATTTTGTTGGCAGAGAATGGGTAGATTTCCGAGTTTCAGGCCAGCTATACAGGGCCTGAGCTATACAGTGAGACACTGTCCCCAAAACAAAACAAACAACAAAACAAAAAAACCTCTGTTTCCACACCTGGGTTGGTGAGGGCCCCTGTGGCTCAGGCACCAGGTGTCACCCTGTCTAGTTGGAAACTGCTTGGCCCTCTGCTCTCTAGATTCACTCCTGTAAATTTAACAAGTTTTTCAGCAGGATTTTCGTCCCAGAAAGTGCCCCCAAAAGTCTGATGAGCCCCCTGTGCTAGGAGAGAGGGTCAGGAGCATGCTGAGAGGGGCAGAGGTCACAGGTGAGGAGGAGGGAACGAGAAGAATTGGGGCCAACCAGCAGAGAGCACCCCCAGGCCGAACTAGACTGACCCTTCCGTCACCAGGAGAGGGCAGGCAGGGGGTGAGTTTGAGGGCTGGATTCATTTTATTGTATTTCGCCTTCAGCATTGGACCAGAGACGCCTTTTCCTGGGGAGAAATGTAGGTGGTAGAAATGGAAGACCTACCCTGATGGTGTCCTTCCCCGCTGGGAGGGTGTTGTGCCCCCTGGAATCCATGTCCTGGGGCTGAGACCGTTGGTCTCTCTGGATTTAGAGAGCTGAGAGTTAGGGACACTCAGAACCATCTAATTAGGGCATCAGCCCCCAACCCAAGTCCCCCAGTGGAGGAATTCAGAGTTGGTAATATGCTCTCCTCAGTCATCTCTACCTCATCCAACTCCCAGGTCAGCAGCCTGGGGTGGTGCACTCTCAGGATACCCAGCAATCTTCTGGAAAGGGGTACTGGGTGGTGGCCTGAGAGCCTGAGGAAGAGGAGGCTTAAGCCCCCAGGGAGAGATGGGTTGGGTTGTCAGCAGGGAAAAGAAGACCATATATTCCCAAGCATTTGGCAGACCCAGGTTTCCCTGCATCAGACCCAGATATGTCCTGCTGGACTGCTCAGAGCTGCAGAAGGCCAAGCAAGACTTGGACAGCAAAGCCTACTATTTCACAGGGAAAGTCCTGATCCTTCCCAGGTCATCACCCCAAGCTGTTTCCCCCAGCCAGTCCCCACTCAAGGACACTTCAGAACGTGTGAGTTAGAAAAAGAAGAGGTGAATGACCATGGGCCCTACCCTGGTTGGGGGTGGGGGAGAGAAAGCGCCCCAGCCCGAGGCTGGCTTTCCTGTACAGCCAGGACTTCGGAGAGCAACCTTGGACACCCGAGGGCTGGGGACCCGAGGACCCGCCCATTCATCAAAGGGTGACACTTGGACTAGCTGTCGTCCCTCCCCAGCCCATCCCCACCCTCTGTTTTCATGGGAGGTTTAACACCCCCTCCGCCCTTCCCCCCCAAAAAAAAACGAGGTCGAGTTCGGGATTAGAAAAGAGGGAAAAAAAAATATTCGTAGGCGACTTCTTTTCATTATTGGCCCTCCTTCCGTCCTGGCCCCCTTCCCTCATGAATAAAAGTCAGAACCTATCAGATCTCGTCCGCCGCCGCCTCCTCCTCCCCTCCCCTCCCGTGCAGCCCAGCACTTTTGCACAACTTACCCAGCTGATCGCTCGCGCCCCCTCGCTCTTGCTCTTCTCGTTCCCAGCCCTGTCACTTGGGCCGCCTCCCCTCCAACCCCGAAACCCGAGGAGGCGGGCATCCCCGCTCCAGTCCTCCGGGGGACCCGGTGTGAGAGAGTCGAAAGAGGCGTGGAGAAGAGGGAGGGAGGCAGAGAGGAAGGAGGGAGTCCAAGTCAGAGCCAGAGAATAAATATATAAATTAAGACCTAAAGACACCAATTCCGCAGCCTCTCGGCTCAAGAACTTTGGCCCCCAGCCGGGAGCCAGAGGTTCGCCAGCCGGAGCTGGGGCCGCGTATCCTGGCCTGGTCTGCCCGAGACTGCCCCGAGTGTAATTGCGCACAACTTCTGGCGGAGCCTGGCGGGTGCAGGCGGACTTGGGGTTGGAGTGTTTGTTTGTTTGAACTTCCTTGTCGCCACCCCCCCCCGCCCCCATCTCACCCCCCTCCCCAGCTTCTGGAAAGCGCGTCTGCAGCAGGGGTGGGGGGTGGGGAAGGGAGTGTGCGGAAGGGAGGGGGAAGAGGTTAAAAAAAACAGAGAGAAGAAGGAAAGAAGGATCACAGCAGGGGTAAAAGGAAGAGACGCCAAGCGATTTTTTTTTTGGCCGACTCTGGATTCGTCCCTGGCGTGCGCAGGAATGGCGGCCCTGCCCGGCGCGGTACCCAGGATGATGCGGCCGGCTCCGGGGCAGAACTACCCGCGCACCGGATTCCCTCTGGAAGGTAAGCGCCCAGCCAGGCCTCGCCTCGCTCGCGGCTCTGCGGGTATCCCCAGGGCCTGCGGAGGTGGCACCTTCCCGGGGACCGCGGCGCCAATCCCCGGCTCCGCAGCCTCCAAGTCCCCGCGCCCGATCCAGGAAGTTTTTGGAACCACTTGTCGGTTTCTGCGTGGGTTTCGCTGACCCGAGGCCTGCGCTTCACAGGTCACGGGCAGCCAGCCTTTCCCCGTAGGGTGGGAGTCCCGGTTCGGCTGTGAGTCTGTTTCGGGTCCTGGTACTTTCGCGTTCTTCACAGTCTCTCTCTGCAGTTCCCAGGCTTTCCATGTTCACCCGCCGCCGACTTTCTATTCTCGTTTTGAATCCTTTCACCCTGGGGATGGGGTTCCTGCCCCTTTCATTTCGAAATACCAGGAGGGTGATCCTCTGCAAACTATCCGCTTCCCCCAAAGCAGCGCTCCTGTTTTTCGGCCGGGCAACACTCTATTATAAGATAATACACGGTAAAAAAAATTTTCTGCGAAACAAACAAAACTTTTTACTGGAACTTATGAACTATGCAAATAGCCCGAGAGAGAACCTGGCGACGGCGAGAGGGAACAGCAATCCAACCTGGGGAACAGTTTTAGTACTGTAACGTATTGTACCAAATTCTCCAGCTACCGCGCGAGAGAGAATGGGGGGACCAGAGGGAACCAGCCGGCCGCAAACGAGTCGGGAAGGAGGAGAAAGAGCCCTTTTCCTGATCTCTCTCTCTCTCTCTCTCTCTCTCTCTCTCTCTCTCTCTCTCTCTCGATGGCTTTCAGCCGGTCACGGAGGGGTCATTTGACTTCTAGGGTCAGGCAGCCCAGAGCGTCTGTCATAGGAGGAGTTTTAAATGCGTGCCACTTTTATTTTTTAGTCATTGTGTGGAACCCTCTTGCGGGTGCGGGAGGATGCGGAATGGAGGCGGGGAAGGGCGCGCGGGCGGACTGGCAGCCTGCAGATCTGGGGAGGGAGCCCCCCTCTCGGGCAGCTAGAAGGCACCGGGTCCCCGAATTAGGCAGAGGCGAAGAGAGCAGGCTGCGTGATCAAGTGCGCGCGAGCGGCCACGCAGGCGGGAAAGCGCGGCAGCCGGGGATTTGCCGGAGCCCTCTCCTGTAACGAATGCAAGTAAAACAGGCGGCTGAGGACGCGAAGGATTAGGACAATATTTGCCCAACATGACGCAGAATACTGAGGAGAGCCGAGTGCGGGTCGCTAAAGAGGCTCTTGAATATAAAGTTGGGCGCTCGAGAGCTCTCCAGCGCTAATGGCGTATCCCGCCACAGAGACCGAGTGACTCTGGCTTGGCGACGCACGATTTCTGATTAAATCCGAGGGTGGCTTCAGACACCTACTTTTACAAAGAGAGATGGGGGGGAGTGAGGAGGGGGGCGATAGGAGCAGCTCAGCAGCCCGAGCCTCTTGTAGCCTTCTTTCCAATTATTCTGTCTGCTTCCTCCGCTCGGGCCGCTGTGAAATCGTGCTAATCTTCCAGATTTCTGCAGCCGCGAGTCCCCAAATTGGAGGGATCGAGGCCGGATTAGTGCACCGGGTCTCCCCCCATCCTTCTGTGCGAAAATTGTGTAGACTTTGCATTAAGGCCTGCCTGAGTTCTCCCATCCCCAGAACACACCAGGAATGCTTGTCTCGAATGCTGGAACACACACACACACACACACACACGCACACGCACACACATGAGACTGGCCCCATCTTCTTCGGAGCAGATCCTATAGGACCGACACTTCCTGGGTTTCTAGGACCAATTTGGGGTATTTTGGAGCTTTTCCACTATGGAGTGTGTCCCCAAATTCTCCCAAAACGAAATCAGAACTTCGAGAGTGTTTAGAAGCAAAAGGGGTCTACTAATGGTCCTCCTCTGTTCCCTGAAGCAGTGCAGAAAGCTTTATGTCACCAGACCCTGAGCTGTGCATTGAGATTAAAATGCTGTGAATCAAGCAGCTCTCTTAGCTACTGATCCAATAGCTCCGTCCCTGCAACTGGGAGTGTGAGTGTGGAACTGACCTGGTGGGCTATATCTCATTGCTGGTGGGCCTCATCCAGAGGCAACAGGCCTGTGGTCCAAGCTATGGCCTAAGGATCAATTGCCACTGCTCCCAGGATCAATAGCTATTCCCCACCAGCCTCCTCTCTGCCCCTTTAGGCATCCATGCCCCCCCCAGCAACACACACCCCAGATATGTCCTCATCCTGCAAGTGAGTTGTAGGGAAAATCTGGTAGCCAGGACCCTTATCCCTCTCCCTGTAGGAATCTTCCAAGGCTTCTGGAAGACCCTGGAGATCAATTTGGGGCTCAAGCAAGGGGTGCAGTGTCAACATGGACACGCACATTACACACACTAACCTTAGCTTGTATCCCTCTCATTTCTCCTCTCCCCTCCTTCCTCCAGTGTCCACCCCACTTGGCCAAGGCCGAGTCAATCAGCTTGGCGGGGTCTTCATCAATGGGCGACCTCTGCCGAACCACATTCGCCACAAGATAGTAGAGATGGCCCACCATGGCATCCGGCCCTGCGTCATCTCCCGTCAGCTTCGTGTCTCTCACGGTTGTGTCTCCAAGATTCTGTGCCGTTACCAGGAGACCGGGTCCATCCGACCTGGGGCCATCGGTGGCAGCAAACCCAGAGTGAGTATCTTTGCCACTGAGGCTGACTGCAGGCCTTCCCAGGTCTGGGGACCCTGGCTGCCACCTCTCTCACTACCCCAATGTCACCCAGTATCCCTGGGTGTCTGGAAGCTTCCTATAGAAAAGATCGCATGGGAGTTTATCCCCAACTCTCAGATATTGCCCCATTATTTTCCCCATTATTCAAAAATTTCAGGGATGGGGTACCTGAGCTCTAGGTTGTCCAAGACCTTGAAGCTGATGATCCGTTTTTGGAATGTCCCCACATCTGTCCCTACCCTGGTATGGTCACCCCAGTCAGAGGAAATCTCCCTTAAGTACTGCCTAAAGTGTTACCTTGGGGTTCCTAATTAGATTTTATTGCCTATCCCTGCCTCCTACCTTTGTTATCCTGAAACCAGGGGAGCAGTTTCCTCAAAAGAATAAAGCTCATCTTAGGAGGGAGGGCAAGGCCACCAGCCTGACCTGGGGCTTTGGGGAGGTTGATATTAAAACTATTTCCCTTTTCCCACCCCATCTCCCCACTCCTGCTCTCCCACCTCCACCTCTGAAGCAGGTGGCGACTCCAGATGTGGAAAAAAAGATTGAAGAGTACAAGAGGGAAAACCCTGGGATGTTCAGCTGGGAGATCCGAGATCGACTCCTGAAGGATGGCCACTGTGACCGGAGCACAGTGCCCTCAGGTGAGAAGGCAGCTGAGCCTTCAGCAGAGACTGCCTGGAGTCTGGCTGGGGACTGGAGTGTAGGGCTGGAGGGTGGAGAGAGGAAGGGGGAGGCATGACTGTCAGGCACCTGGGAGAAAAGTTGAGAGAGAAACAGTTCAGCATTGGGGTGCAGCAAAAATAGAAGTAATGTGGAATGGAAAAGAAAGTTGGGAATGGAGAGGGAGGGGGAAGAGGATAGAAACAGGGTGGGTGAGAGTCCTGGAAGCTTTGGGAAGAAGTGATCTTAGACAAAGGGAACTACCCCTGGGGGTTGATGTTCCTGGAGCTCCCTCCCCAATTCAGCACATCTGTTCTGTTGCTCAGCCCTCAGACCGTGCTGCCTGTGAACGGAAGAGCTGCCTGTTGTATGTCTAAGAGTATTCATGTGTACAGGGCCAAAACACCTGGGTGGCTACAGAAAGGGCTGGGGGCCCTCCGTATGGCCCTAGAGCAGTGGGCATGCTGTGAGTGCATCTAGGGCATGAGGTAGTAAGGCACAGGGCACATGTTCAGGGAAGTGTACAAGGATGCACTAGGTGGGCAACTCGGCACACTCACCCGGAAATGTGCACCCCAGGTGTGACTAGGTTTCTCTACAGACAGGAGTGCATAGGGTGAATAGGGCCCCCTGACTTTTGTCGCCTGGTCCTTTGCCCCAACAACTTATACTCCCTCTTTTGCTTTTAATTTCTGAGGTTTAGTGAGTTCGATTAGCCGAGTCCTGAGAATCAAGTTCGGGAAGAAAGAGGACGATGAGGAAGGGGACAAGAAAGAAGACGATGGCGAGAAGAAAGCCAAACACAGCATCGATGGCATCCTGGGGGACAAAGGTAAGGCCCTGCCGCGGCCCTCAACGCCCGAGACCCCATTTTCCCACGCTCTCGGTGCGAACCTGTGACTCCTGCCAGCCCCTGTCACAGGATTAATAGCGGCCACAGCTCCTGCGGGCGAAAAATGTCGCAGGTTTCATGCGGCCTGGGTTTCTCGGGCTTTACCGAGAGTGTCCCTTCCGGACACCGGGCAATCCAAGCACTGCACGGAGCCCGCGGGTGGCCGCTGCGCCCAGGGGACCTGGGTGGCGGATCCTGCGCCCTGGCTGTACCGCCACTCCTCGCGTACCGTTCCACCCCAGTCTGTATTCTCCAGGGTTGGCGTTTGGGCTGCTCATCCGGGTGTCGATCAATTATTTATAGGAAACTTGGGCGAGGGGGTGGGGGGGCGAGGAAGGAGGAGCCGGCCCGGGGCTCCCTAAATGAATTTGTTAACCAGACCCGCACACGCTCTCTAAACGGTCCCTTGAAACCCCGCCTGACAGCTGACTGACCGCTGCAATCAATAAAAATTAGCTCGGGCCGCGCGGCCTGTGTCTCGGCCCAGCTTGGCCAGGGCGGTCTAGGGGCGCCGGGGTGTGTTCCTCTTGGCTAGCGCTGGTGTGATGAAGGCTGGAGGCCAAGTTCCCAGATGCCAAGGGTCTAGGGGAATCCAGAGGAGGGGGAGAGCCAAGCGCCCAGCACTGTCTCCCCAGCCTTAGCAAGGCTTCGCTGCGCGGTATGAGCTCTGAGCTCAGCTGTCTCTAGGGAGCCGGTAGGGCCAGCGTTTATCTTTCAAGCGCCTGCACTTATCCCTGGGGACCAAGTTGTACTTTTGTTTCTTGACTGGGAAGTTTCAGAGAAGGGAAGTCTTTCCTCATCACCCCTTCCCCAGACATTGTCTTTTGAGTAGTGAGGGTCTTACCCAAAAGTGGAGTGGGAGAGGACTGACCAGGAAAAGAAGGTGCCTCAACACTCGCAGGGAGGTCTCAGGAGGAGAGAAGCTTGGAGACAGTATCTTTGGGGAAAGTTTGGGATTGCTTCCTAAGGAACCTTCCAGAGGTTTCTGCAGGCGCTCTTCCTGGTGTCTTCCAGCACCCCTAGCCTAGGTCTCTATCAGGTTCCCAATAAGTCCTCCCAACTTTGAAGATGAACTTCACAGACAAAAGCCAGCTTCCACAGACAGCTCCCAGAGAGGGAGGCCCAGTCCCCACTGGCCCATTCTAGGGGAAAGGATTGGGAAGGGGCAGCCCCCTTCTTGGGCAAGCTTGTGCCTGGGAAGGGGCTGGCTATTGACATTCAGGGCCCCTAGTGGAGCCGCAGCCCCTCTGGAGACAAAAGGGCCAAGGAAGAAAGAGAGCTAGCTGTGCCTGGTACCCCGCTGTGCGGGGCGGCCAGAGGGGCCTGGGTCTGCTATAAGAGGCAGCCCCTGCACTGCCAAGTAGCCCTTAACTTGGCCAGTCTGTCCAGAATACTGGGACCCAGGGTTTATTTCAACTCTTATTGAAAATACAAGCTAGACTTTTTTTTTTTTTCTGAATACTGGTGGTAGATTTTGAACTTGAATAGTCTTTCCAAGGCACCTCAGAGAGTTAACCTCCAGGGAGCAGTGGGATATTTGAGTTCATTTGGAGAGATCCTCTGTGTGTGTGAGAGAGAGAGAGAGAGAGAGAGAGAGAGAGAGATCCATGTCAGTGTTTTGAAGCGTAAGAGGTTGTTTGCTTCTAAGAAAAGGAAAAGAAAATTAAAAGGGAAAGAAAAAGGAAAACATTGTTTTTAGGGGGATCCCTCTGATACAGAGAATTTGGGGGCTTCTGGAGCTCCTCTGGGTTTGCAAAACCAGTGAACAAGAGTCTTCGCTGGAAAGAGGTTTTCTTTGCGGAAGACCGAGGAAGCTCCATCTCCAGGGGTTTAAAGTCAGATGGGAGCAGTTGAAAACACAGGTGTTAAGTCTACAGAACTGCAGGAATGAAGTGGCTTGCAGGGGCCAGGTGTCCTGACAACCCCTCAGGGTGTGCATTGCTGTGCTGTGTGAGTGGTGCACTGGTGTACTGGATGGAGGCTGTCTACCCACCCACAGGCCTTTGAGTCAGAGATGGCCTCAGGTCTTAATCAGCAGGAGATTGCAACTTGATCTGAAATGGGTGTGAAGGGTGATGGCTGAGATGAGAGATGAGACAGGTTTTCATTTTGGACACATTTAGTTTCCAATATGAATGCTGTAGCAGATTCTCTCTCTCTCTCTCTCTCTCTCTCTCTCTCTCTCTCTCTCACCCTGGACATCAGTTTCACAGTTGAGTCAAAGCTAAGAAGTCCTTTCAACCTGAACCTAGGCTGTCTGGGTCAGAAGAGGTCTGAGATGCCCCCAGAAAGCAGAACAGGGGGAGGGATGTACACTCACAACTTTGTTTTGGCTTTTTGCTTTTTGACAAATGCTTTCTCCCAGGGTTGCCCCTCTCGTGGCGGGGAGCCACCAAAGAAGGGGTTTAAGAGCTCTCCTCTTTAAGCACTAAAGAGAGATCCCTCCCTGAGTCCGTTTCTTCCTATCGTCCGCTTGGCATTTAATAATGTTAAGACTTATTAGAGGTGGTAATGAAAACTGGGACTCTTGAATAGGAAACTGTGTTGGAGAGGGGTGTAATAGCTTCCAGGCATGGTAAGAAACTATTTATCCGCAATCAGTCTTCACTCTCAGAGTTTGAAGCACAAACGTTAAGTTGAAGGGTTTTAAAGCAGATTAAATTGAGCTTTTATTTTCTGCACTTTCATCTCTGAGCAGCTCACTCCTGCTCCCCTTGGGCTGATATTCATGAGACTGTTCGTGGGCTTTTTTTCGCCTCTCTCCTTCTTATCCTTGTTAAGACTGAGTTATTAGGATTGTTGGTTGTGGGAATTCTCAAGACTGCTGCCAACAGGGCCTCCGGCCAAGCTCGGCTTTACCTGGAGAAGTGGACAGTTCTGCACCCCTGGCCGGTTAGACTCTTTCCTCTCAGTCCCTCTCCAAGAATCAGGGGATAGATAGTTGAGAAAGCCATCCAGACAAGGATGGAACAGAGCTGGGAAAGGAGAAGAAGAGAGTCTCCACCGGAAATTGATGGAGGTTTGCAAAGAGTGGACCATTCCTCAGTAGCCACTGAGGGGGGCTGGATACAGAAAGAGTGATGTAAATTACAATAGGAACCGGAACACACAATGGATAGTCCAAGCCTCAGGCATCTGACAGCACTCAAGTTGAAACCACAGCTGAGCAGATCAGACATGGGGTTGGTCTCTAGGGTAGAAAACCCAGTGGGGTTACAATTAATATGAAACACTCAAAAAAAGTTTCAAGAAGAGGAGGATGAGGAGAAGGAGGAAATTGTTTAGCTCTGTGGCCAGAATACCTATGGGTGTCAGTCCAGTGGGTAAAAACCTGCACAGTTCCTGGGACCTCTGAAAGACCATTCAGGGGGAAGAGCTGGGAGAGAGCTAGAATTCTATTTTCTACGAGAGGATGGAACCCGGATCCTCACACAAGCTAGGCAAGCACACTCTCTGAGCTACATACAGTTCAGGCCCTAGGTTTGTTTTTCTTTGCATTTTCCCTTAATTTATTTTGAAGAAGGTAAACTTACAGGTGTGGAGTGGAATGGGATATGATGGCGGAGGATTGGAAAGGAGGGGAGAGCCCGAAGTGTCGGTTTTAGACACTTGTAAAAGGAGGTGGGAAACAATTTAATTTGGCAGAGGCGATGGCTGCTAATGCGGTTTTCGGTCGTTTGCTGCACCGGAGGAAGCTGTTTTGATTGTGTGTACAAGGACCTGCCAAATTTAATTAGGCTCCGGGGGAGCGAATGAATAGGGGAAGGGGGGGCAGAGCTCCCCGCAGCCCACACTTTTTCTTAGTGTTTTTTCCCGGACTTCACACCTGGAAGGGGTGCCATTTAAGGGGTAGGTGAGAAGGGGGGTAGGGAGGGTCCTTGGGAGAGGGGCCAGGGAGGAGACCAGGACAGTCCATTTATCAGGAGGCGATCTGCATTGATTTAAACCTACAACTTCCCTCCTCTGTAAATGTGTGTTTAGGGAAAGGTAATTGACACTGCACCAAATCAAAGGATTACCCCGGGTTGGCAATCTAATCAAACACAGTCCAGGCGGGATTTGAGGCCGTTCAGAGGGGGATCAGCTTCGCATAATGGGGGCTCCGAGGAAGATGGGGGGGTAGCAGGCAATTCCCCGGCTTTAGGCAGAGCTCCGCGGTGGATGGAGACAGAGACCAGAGCGAGCGAGGGAGGGGGATTGGGAGGCCCCGACCGCCGGGGTGGGGGATGGGGTGCGGAGGGGTGGGGAGAAGCGAGAAGGTCCCGGGGGAGGGGGCTCCCGGCGTGGGGGCTAGCCCACACCGCGCTGACAAGACTCTCTCCTTCCCCCCACCTCCATCCCCGGAACCCAAGGCGAGCTAGGGAGGAGGGACTCTGGGACCAGGGGCGAACAATGAGGAGGTAACTGTTACAAAGGCAAACACTGGTGCTAGCTTGCTCGCAGCCCCGGAACCCGCGGTAAATAAAGTCGGCAAACTGCGCGCCAGATAAACGGGTGCCTAAATCGAGTGTGACGGGCCAGGAGAGAAGACATAGGAGATAAGACTGGAGAGGGAATGAACGAGCGGAATCTAATAGAAGACATTCAGAAAACAAACAAAACTTTATAAACAAGAGAGCAAGCAAGCGGAGAGCTACGATACGCCCCGGAGCGCGCGGGAGCCGGGCGCAGGGCCTGCAGAGCCGCGGGAACGGATGCCGGGGATGGATGTTGGGGATGCTGCGGGGGATGCCGGAGCGCGGACCCCCGGGGGGCGCGCAGGGAAAGGAGCTGGGCTCCCGGAGGTATTTGGACCTGCGAAACTCAAGCTTAAGTCGAGCAAGTGGGGTTCCCCGCTGCGAGGACGCGCGGGTAGTGTGTTCACCTCCGGGCACGCACCGCCGCGCAGCGGTCGTTTGAAGGAGTCTGTACCTAAAAGATTCGCGTGCACCGCGCGGCAG